TTGGTACGGTTGCACACGTCGCAGGTGCTTACGTACTCATTGACAAACTTGGACATCCCAGGCCACCAGTAATTCCGCGACACGAGCTCCAGGGTTTTGGCACGGCCGCCATGACCGGCGATCGGCGAGTCGTGGTGGATCTTGACGATATCCCGCCGGAGCTCCGCATTCTTCGGGACGTACACGCACCCGCGGAACAGCAGGAGCCCTTGTTCGGCATTCCACTCCTCAAAACCCCTTTGCAGCCGGGGCGGCCCGAGGTCCTGCACCTTTTCAAGTGCCTCGGCCACCTCCCGATCCTTCTCCGAACATTCCCTGATGCGCTTCAGAAGCGACTGATCGGCCGTCACCGAGGCATGACCGCGCCTGGCGGAGGCGATGCGGAAGCGCTCTGGCTTGAGAACCACCTGATCGGTGTTATCGTCCTCATCGCCGATCTGATGGTCTGATCGACGCGACAGGGCATCAGCCTTTCCATTGGACGTCCCGGCCTTGTGCGTGATGCGGAAGTCGAAGCGAGCCAGGAACAGCGACCATCGCGCTTGACGACACGTGAGGTGCTGTGACGTGCGCCAGTACTCGAGGTTCTTGTGATCGGTTACGATCTCGAACTGATTGGGTAACCCTTCGAGATAGTGGCGCCAATCATCTAGTGCCTCGATAATCGCAAGCATCTCCTTATCGTAGATCTCGTAGTTACGCTGGGCAGGGTCCATAGCGTGAGATCTGAAGGCAATAGGGTGCCATTTGCCGTCGTCCTGCTTCTGCATCAACATGCCGCCAGTGGCGTAGCCTGAGGCATCAACCTCAATGCGCGTTTCTCGGTTAGGATCGTACAGTGCTAGGACTGGAGTCGTCGCGAAGAGCCGCTTGAGCTCGTCGAAGGCGTGCTGCACTTCCTCGCCCCAATGCCATGGGTCATTCCCTGTGAGCCGGTCGAGTGGTCGTGAGATCTTAGCGAAGTCTTTGATGAAGCGGCGGTAGAAGTTGGAGAACCCCCGGAACTTCTGGACATCTTTTTTGTTCTGGGGTACCGGCCACTCATTAATTCCTTTCAGCTTCGCGGGATCCATCGCTACCTCATCGCCACCGAACACATAGCCGACGTAGTCGACTTTGGGAACGTCCCACTCACACTTCTCAGGCTTCAGGAACAGATCGTTGTCCTGAAGGCGGCGCAGAACCTCGCGTGTGACCTTCTCATGCTCCTCTTTATTGGTGGAGAAGATGAGTATATCATCCAGGTATACGAGGATCTTGCCACCAACGATGAGATCGTGGAATATCTCGTTCATCATTGCCTGGAAGGTCGCAGGGGAATTGGTGAGACCGAAGAACATCACCAAGGGCTCGTACAATCCTCGGTTGGTCACAAAGGCCGCCTTCCATTCGTCGCCGGCCTTGATCCGAACGTTATTGTATCCCCATCGGACGTCGAACTTTGTGAAGAGTGTAGCGCCGCGGAGCTTATCCACCATCTCGGCGATCAACGGCAAGGGGTAACGATTTTTGACCGTGATCGCATTCAATCGGCGGTAGTCCTGTACGGGTCGAAGTGTCCCTTCCTTCTTTTTGATGAAGAAGAAGGGGGACGAGATTGGTGACTTCGACTCCCGTATGTAGCCTTTCGCTAACTGCTCCTTTAGGAATTTGTCCAATTCCTCCTGCTCGTTGTTCGACAACGGGTATACCTTCGAATGGAAGGTCGAGTAGCCGGGCACGAGTTCGATCGCATGATCGTACGGCTTCCTTTCGGGTAACCGTTCTGATGCTTCCTTGGAGAAGACATTCAGGAACTCGTGGTACTGTTTAGGCACCGACTCCTCGGCGGTTTTAACGACCTTCTTCTTGATCTCTTCCTCCGCGAACAGCTGGGAGTATGTATGTCCTGCCGCAACGAACAGCTGAGGAGCGCCGGGAAGCGTGACACCTTGCTCCCAGGCTTCGATCAAATCGGCCTCATCCCACTCTATTTCCACCGGATCTTCTTCGGGTTCGAAGTCCGGGAGTACCTGACTCCGGCAGGCACCTATCACCGACCGTTTGGACTTCGGCGAACGCCTGCGCGCCGTGGGCCTGACCCCCGTATCACGCACAGTCGCTGCTTGCTCCATTCGGCCAGCCCTCCTGGCACTGCACGTTTCAGGGCATCGCGACAATTTGAGGGAGCCCTTCTCCCAATCTATTTCGGGGTTGTGCTCGCGTAGCCAATCCAACCCGACGATCACATCCTCTGGACCGATGTCCGTGACCGTAAACACCGTCTTCTCGACGTGTTCTCCTATTCGCATCTGTAGTACTGCTACTTCTGAGATGCTTCCATCTTTATTGAGGGTGCCGTCGATATTGTATAGCGGAATTGGTTCCTTCAACCTCCGCGTTTGCACCTTATTTTCTACTATGAATCGCTTGTTGATAAACTTCGTGGTGGCTCCGCTGTCCACCATAGCGATTATGTCCTTGTGCCGTCTTTTTCCTTGGAGGCGTACCGGGATGTGGAAATGCTGGGACCCGTGGTCCAACTCGTACACATTCGCAGTTGCCAATACATTGTACAAATTATTATTACGCGGCCCGACGCGTGCGGCACGAAGCGCGGACCGGATCAAAAAGACTCTTCTTTGAGCGCTCGATAGTGCTCCAACTCCTCACGCATCGACTTCATCTGTGCTATTAAGTCCGCCAGCTCGGAACTTTCCGATTTCGCTGAAGCGGCGCTTATACTCGCCGAGGATGAAGCGACGGGGGCGCTTGTCGCTGCCTGGGTGGAACCCGAGGCAACCGTAGCCCGCGCGTCGGCGCGTTTTGTGTAAGGTTTATCCTTACAGTTAGGGCACTCGAAACGACGGTACCCTTGCTTCCCGCAGCCAAAGCACGTGCCGGGGAAGTCTCCTTTTCCGACGGCCGCATTGATGCTGGCCGAAACTGCGTGTGTTGAGGGTGCACCACCACGTGCCCCTCTGCGACCTCGACCTCGGGCCGAGAAGAAGTTGTTCAACTCGGGCCGACGGGCCCGGCTGATGTCGAGGATCTGCTCGACCTCAGTGGCTCGCTTTTCAGCGGCTCGCCACGTGGTGAAGGTCTCGAGCTCGATCTTTCGATAGACGCGGGAGGGGATGCCGCTCAGGTACTTGTCGCGTAGCTCCAGGTCCCCATACCCAGAGCGATCCGCCGGACCCTTGAACAGCGCGGAGAACTCCGCGGCGGTGCGTTTTTCGCGGACCGACTTGTCCGCGCAGAGCTTCGCCAGCTCTACTTGTGCTGCTGCCGCGTCGTCGAGATTACCGAAGCGAGCCTTGAAGGCAGCGGTGAAGGCCGCTTCGTTCCTGAAGGGGGTTGTAACCCCTTGTACACCCATCTGCACCGACGCAAGTTGGGCGAAGTAAGGCGTGGCCCAGGCACGGGCATCGCCATCGAGCAGGCTCAGCGCAACTTGTACCTTGAGCTCAATAGTTGTCAACGACGTGTTGATCAGCCAATAGATACGTAGTTGCGACAGGAACCTGTCGCATTCGATGACGGTTTTGCCGTCATAGCGGAGGGGGAGGAGGAGCTTCAGGGTCTCCTTGTCGGGTGCGGCGGCGGGAGAGGACATTATCGGCGTCGGGGGGGATGGAGGACGCTGCGGGGGCGGAGGCGGCTGTGGTGGCCCTCCGCTGGTCGAACTTCGAGAGGAGCGAGTGCTCGAGCGGCCTCTCGGCGGAGTCGGCGGTGAAGGCGCCGAAGGAAGTTCGGCGGGGGTGTCACGTACGTCAGGGACTGCTGACGTGGGGGCGAGTGCTGTCGGCGAGGCGGACCCAACAGAATCCTCGGACTCGGACTCCGAGATTCCTTCTTCACCCTCACCCTCCTCAGGCTCAGACTCTGGCGCAGGGTCTGGAGGGAGATCTCCTCGCGCTTGACCTGGATCGGTGACAACAGTTTGAGGGAGGCGGGAGCTAGGGGAGACAGGGCGAGAGTGCCGCGAGGCAGATCGAGATGCAAGGGTGCTCCGGGGTCCGAGCGGGTGTTGCGCTCGTCGGATCGCTTTGTAGCGCGGATAGTCTTCTGGGATCGATCGGGGGGTTCGGTTCGGGCACGGTTGCTGCTCGCAACGGTAGATGATAGTCTCGGGACCGTCTGGGATGTAGACGTCGATGAGGTCCTGAGAGTCGAATGCGTGAACTTGGCCTTGGCAGGCAGCCACGTTGGATGGGGGGAGGACGGGGAGGTGCGCGTACTAAAATGGCCGTACTACACTAGCTTACGTTACGGCGCCCGAGATGACACTGAGATTCGCAGTTCACGTAGGGCCCAATACTGCTTTTGACTATTATGCAGCAGGAACCAAGGCTACGTGTCCGTGAGGACAAGTACCGCTCACTGAAGCGCAGGTACTGAAGAGTTCGTTTCTCTAGTGTTGGCGATGTATAGTAGGCTATCTACGTATCGTAGTGTACCGTATGGGTGCGCACCACCCGACCTATGGGAAAGGAAAGTGAGTGTGGGGTTCCAAGAGAACGCCGGTCGCTTTGTGGAGTTTCGACCTAATGTCGCGACTTGAGGTCGAGCGACAGGGGAATATCTGGAAGCGAGGGGCGTCCGACTGGTTCTTACCGAAGCGATGGTGAGCGAGGCTCAAACCTAAGGCTAGGGACAAGAAATGTATTAGTTAGTTTAAGTAAGAAAAAGAATACAGGATGGGCTTACTGACCTAGGGACAAGAGGTCGAAACTGAGGTCCCTAGGGCAGCAGAGGCCGGCTTATATACATGGGGAGATTAGGGCAGGTCGTGCGCATTGGTCCGTGCGCAGCTGGTCCGTGCACAGCATGCCGACGCGGCCCCGGGGGCCGGTGAGTCAGAGCGGCTGTGTCAGCGGAGCCCGAGCTGTGCCGTGCGCTGCCGCCCCATCTAATCTTATCGTACAGTAGATAACGACGTGTCCATATCAGGCATGTAGTACAGAGGTTGCAGGTTCGAGCCCGCAAAAAGGAAAAAATTAAAAAAATGGCTAGACGCCATGTCAACTCGTGACAGACAGCAAGGACATGTGAGAACAAATGTCAAACAAACATAAAGACATCGACAAATATAGAGTGTCTCCTGCCTTGTGCGGTGCGGAAGCATTCTTTTCAATGATCAGCTTACATATGCCCCAATGTGTGTTATTGGTGTTAGCTGAATTCCTTTGTCATTCAGCATTACCGGTTAATCTACTGGTCATTAACTGGTAAATCAGGTCGCTGCTGATTAAGGTAACCAGATTCACCGCGCCCTACCCCGGAGGAACCATCGCCCGCTCTGAGCTCAGGCAGAGACGTCGTCCACGCCCATGGTGCTCTTCTCCCTGCGCATCCGCGGTGCGTCAACCCCGGCTCGAGCGTGAGCTGGGACGAGCTCACGGGCCACGGCGTGGGCGGAGCAGGCCGCAGCACAGACATGCGGCTGCAGTGGGCGAGCAGGGCGTCTCCCACTCTACGCGGCCCGTACGCCAGCATGTGCTCTCTACGATTGCTCGTCGGCGAGCAGGGGCGCGGGTACGACGATGTTGGCCGTTGCGTGTGAAGCAGGGCATGGTCGTGAGCGTGGTCGTTGCGCTCGCGTGTGTGGCCGTGGCCGCGAGGCTGGCGCTGTTGGCTATGCGTACTGGGTGACAATACCTCCGTTTCTTGAGCTGGAGCGCGAAGGCGAAGAACACGGTGGGAGAGCGACTCAGCGAGCGGAGTGTGGATACATCTACCGACGGCAGGATGCTACTTTTCGTTGCACTCGACAGTCTTAAGTTCTCGTGATTGAGTAGGTTTGCTGCAGGGTTGGGTTAGGACATCGTCTATTGTGCCGTTGATTGTGTATTACTCTTAGCTGCAGTATGAGCTTACGCTTGATCGGTTAACCGGGTTGAGATTGAGATCGGAATCTTACGAACCTGGTGTCGGGAGATGCCGAAAAGCGAGACTTACGCCCCCTGTTACGCACTTTCCCTGAGTTGTGCTAGCCTCTATGTGCGTCTCATATCATTGGGCCGTACCTATGCGATCAGCGAGAACATGGTCAATTGTTTCGCCACTAGTAAGACGTGTTTCACGCGCGTGGAGACAAGACCGCTCAGTTATCTGCTCCATAGTATTCTCGACGAACCAGCACGCGGATAGCCACAGAAGTCAAGGTGCTCATTTGTAATCAAGGTCGTCTGTCCTCGATAAGAAGCTCGCTTGGGCACGGATGACACCCTCTGATTTGCACCGGCGGCCGACATCCATGTCTTCGTTTCTCCATCCAGCTATGCGCACGATGGGCCGTGGTTCTGGGACATTCCGCCGGCATACACACCATGGGGAATACATGCCAGGGTTTGGGTCCATCTCGGATAAGACGGTACGCGGGTGTTCTGTGCTGATTAACGCTGAGTCTTTCTTGCTGACGGTGCGTCATGTATCTGATGCACGCTTTGCCGCCGGCTCTCTGGACGTCTTCTTTGTATGAACGAACCAACGTCAGACCGATGGTATTCGGCATATACAAGTTCTCGAAACGACGGCTCAACACCATCTGTCATGCTGTTTACCAGTCAATGATTGCGTGCGGCCCGTCAGCCCCATGACTGCTACCACCCACCACTACTTAATGTGAGTCGTGCTGCACACTATGACTGTATTCGCCACCATCGGTAAAGCGTCGTAGAAAGATGGACATCTCGCCCAATGAGCTGGCGATTCTCACTGTTGTCTTACTTGCCACCACAGTGCTCTTCTACGCCAAAGGTACTCGGCGTGCGCCCTTACCGCCTGGACCTCGTGGTATTCCGTTCTTCGGCAACTTGTTCCAAGTGGATGCGATGCGCCCCTACCCCCAGGTATAGTGATAGATTGCCTGCGCCGCTCCGCCCGCCCCATTTCACGCACCCGACACACAGTATCTGAAGTGGGCGGACAAATATGGCCCTGTCTTCTCTGTCAACCTGGGCGGCCAGCGCATCGTCGTGTTGAACAGCTCCGAAGCGGCGGATGAGCTGCTCATGACGCGCAGCAAGCAGTATTCGAGCCGCGAGTCCCCGCACGTCGCGTTCGATCTCATGAGCGACCAGCAGCAGATGTTGTTCATGCCGTATGGAAGAGAGTGGAAGGTCTGTCGGACATGCCTTCCATCATCGCTGGTTCGATCTCACCCGTCGGCCGCTCCGCGCGGGCTGTGTTCCGTGGTCAATCAGATTGTCAGGAAGAATGTTCACGGCGTTCTTGGCCCCGGCCCGTCCAAGCAAATGCGTAAGATACAAGACCTCGAGTCCCGTGTTATATTGCACGACCTGCTCTGTCACGGTGAGACGAGCATCACAGAGGACTTCGTCGAGGGACCGCACGGGAAGGTGCCGGAGAGGCATTGGTTCTCTATCATAAGACGATACGTGAGCGAATGAAGAGCCCTCTTCACCTGACGGCAGGCTGAGCACGTTCGTCACACAGACGACCAGTCTAATGATGACTCTTGTGTATGGCCGTCGTATCCATCGCATTGTTGACAATCCGGAGCTGTATGTCGGCGAGTTGTAACTGTCGATCTTACTGCTGACGTACAATTGTTAGGCATAGAGTCTATGATATTATGTCTAACTTCACGCATGTGAGTCAACCTGGGAGATATTTGTGCGTTGCGATCCACTGCCTGGGTGTTAATGCGACGCTCATGGACGATATTCGTGTAGGGTGGATGTATTTCCTATCCTACGTCGACTACCCGACTTTCTGGCCCCATGGAGAGAAGAGGGGAGGAAGATGCATGAATGGTAACTATCGTTTTGATCATCCGAAGTCCCACATACTAATCTAGTCTACAGGGAGATGGGCTTCTGGGGGAAGCTGTTCTCTGACAGCCGCACTGCCTTGCTCGACGGCTCCGGGCTCAACGGATTCGTTCAGTCCTATCTGCGTTCACGTGCCGAAGCGGGACACGAGGATCTGCCTGGAAAGGGTGTCACAGAGGACGCGGCAGGATGGATGCGCGACAAGCTTGTCACATACACCGCCTCGGGAATCATCGAGGCTGGCTCAGACACAACCTCAACCGCGATCTTCTCATTCGTACTGTTGATGCTTAGCAACCCGGAAGCTCTGCAGCGTGCTAACGAGGAGATGGACGCGGTGGTAGGCTCTAGCCGGATGCCCGAATGGGAAGACGAGGATAGGTTGCCCTGGCTCAAAGCCTGCATCAAGGAGACGCTGCGACGCGCACCCCCGGTTCCCTTGGGTGAGTGCGATGGCAGCGAGTTCTCATCCAAGCACTGACAACGGCATGCACACAACCTGGTGTGATCAAGGTGTTCCGCACAAGACGGAAGAGGACGACATTTACAATGGCCATCTCATCCCCAAAGGATCCATTGTGATTGGGAACATATGGGCCATCCATATGGATTCCGCTCGGTACCCTGACCCATCCGCATTCAAGCCGGAGAGGTTCTACAATCCAAACGGAAAGCTGGAGTGGGCCAGTGGTCCGGACACCCATGTTCGCGACCAGTACGTCCTTGCTGAGCTGTGGAGTGACAGCTGCTGATGGGTCCCGCTCAGCTACATATTCGGGTGGGGCAGACGCTTCTGCCCAGGAAAATATGTTTCAGAGGCGTCGATGTTCATTGTTTTGTCCCGTCTCATCTGGGGCTTCGACCTTTACGCAGCGTCGGATGCGAAGACTGGCAAAGTGAGACTGCCTGATGTCGACGACGAGGCCACGTTCACGGACGGGCTTGTGGCTGCCCCGAAGATTTACCCCGTTGGATTCAAGCCACGGTCCGAGAAGCATGCCGAGATGATCAAGGCATCGTATAGAGACGTTCAGAACGACTGGCAGTCAATGGGGCTGGCTAGAGATGAGCGGTGAATGTCATGTGGCTCAAGCGAAGCGACGAGTGGTTGAATGCGGGGGACGAGCACGCATCTCGGCATATTTTCATGGAAGTCTCCCATGCAAATATCCTTCTTTCCTTCACGCTCAGGCTCTACCCTCTCGGTCTTGCGATGGTATGGACGCGTGTCTATCATGCGACGTTGAATTAAACTTGTAGGCGATTGCCAGAGTTGTGTAAGCTTGCAATCTCAGTAAGACCGGGTAGACGTGAAGAGACGTCATATCCAGCGCAGGTACAGAGAAGGGATGCTAAACAGTAGGCCCAATACTTGATGTTGGGGGAATTGTACAACGCCGCCCTCGCTCTGCAATCAGCAGAGTGTGCTGCCGCTACGTCCTTGTTCTTGTCCCTGACCTCATCTTGCTGTCCGAGTGTGAGGAAGGAAAGCTGCGCGGGGGTAGGCGCGCGCAGGTTGAACTCTTTATTGCTCGCTCGGACGCTGAGGGCGGCTTCAGGACTCGCGAGGGTTCGGCCGGCCCCTGGTGCTAATTCTTGCTAGCCCTCGGACGCGTGTCTCCCTCGCCGTGCATGTTGGCCTTCGATGCAGTGCGCGCGCGCTCCTGCGATGCGTCCTCCCGGAGGCACCATCGCCCGCTCTGAGCTCAGAAAGCGACGTCGTCCACGCCCGCGATGCGCTTCTCGGCTGTTGGTTCGTTAACAGGCACCAGGGCCCCGCACACAAGCCCCTTCCACCGAGCCTATGTCGCGAAGAGCGCTTTGTCCGTCTGGTGACTGGCCCCTGCCCTTGTCCGCCGCCCCGGGAGCCCGTATCGTGCATCGTCTGCCTGGAGGCCTGCAGCTGCCCGGCGGTGGATGGCTGGCAACTGCGGGCGTCCGTACCGGGAGACACGGTAGAAGGAGCACCGTCTATGCATGTCCTCCTGAGTTACACCGACCGCTCATCTGCAGCAAGCGAACCCCGGCTCGAGCGTGCGCTGAGGACAACTCACAGAGTGGTCGAAGCAGTACAGATATGCAGCTGCAGCGTGTGGGCAGGGCGGCGCACGCCGTACACGTTGAGACGGCGTCTAGCTGTATGTCCTCTGTGCTTCGCTAGTAGGCTCCTTGCTTCCTGCGTGGACTTACGGACAGGGTGTTCGGACTCTGCTACGGCACCCATACTCACTCTTTGCCATACCGACTCCGACTCCGAGGCTTGCAAAGATGTGCGGGAGAGCAGGGCACCACACGCAATCTCGATTTGCAGAATTGCGGCGCCGGTGCTCCTCGCCACTCTGCGCTCCCCGTACGCCAGCATGCGCGCTGGATGGTTGTCTGCCATTGCCAGTGATCGTGCGTACCCTCTGGGACTACCTCCTGAGTCCTCTGGTGCCGCATCTGCGACCTCCGCCGCATCTCCATGTGCATCCTCGGCCGGGCTTGTCGCGTCAGCCGCATCAGCCACTATGCCCTCTGCGACCTCCGTCGCGTCGTCGAGCAGAGGCGCGGATCTGACGACGTTGGGTGTGAAGCAGGGCACGGTCGTGAGCGCGCTCGTCGCGCGTGGGTGGCCGCTGCCATGATTCTGGCACTGTTGGCTGTGCGTACTGAGCAGTAATACCTCCGCTTCTTGAGCTCGAGCGCGAAAGTGCTGAACACGGAGAGCGAATGAAGTACTCAGTAGTCTTGATTCAATATGATCCAAAAGGGTCACTACAATTTGTTGGAACAACGGTGCGAACGGCGCGGGGCGCGTTTGTCCATGGGCGTAGCGATGCCCGTAAGGGACAATCGCGTGCGGTACGTACATCGCGCGGGATCGTTATATACTACGATAGGGGCCTCCGGCCCCCGGCTACTCGCGCGCCCGAGCTTTCGAGCTCGTTCCTGACCACGCGGGTCGGCGTGTTTCAACAAAATTGAATGGCTCAGCTAGAGGTCTCCCTATTCTGCCTTTTCGTACACATAGTTCGGCGGTTGTCTTGAATTCTTAGTTGCGGTATGAGCGTGAGCTTGATTAATTAACCAGGTCGAGATCGAGATCCGAATCTTGGTGTCGGGAGATACCGAACAGCAAGACCCACGATCGGTGTTGGCCTTTCCACCTCCTTGTTATGCACTACTTTTGCGAGTCGCGAGATGATGGACAATTGACCCGTCACTAGTACGACGCGTATTACATGCATGGAGACCAGCTCAATATTTATCTGCTCAATGGTATGTCAAACGAACCGGCACGCGGCGGAACCCAAGGGGCTCATTTCCAGTCAACGCTGTCTGTTCTCGAAGAGGATTTCGCTGGGGCGCCAATGACGCCTATGAATTTGTATCGGCGGCCGACGCCCATGTCTTCGTTTATCCATCCAGCTATGTGCACGATTCGCCGTGGTCCTAAGACATGCCGCCGGCATACGTAGGGCCTGTACTACAGGACAGCTCGCGGTTGGCGGCGACGGTTGACAACGGATAACGAACGCCGGTAAGCATGCAAGTTGGCAACAAGTGAAGATGTTGGACCGCGGGTCCGCATCACAAAGCATATCAGCGATTCCGGCAGCACACAGAACCGCGCTTGCAAACGATCACAGACCAGGGACACGGACTAGGGCCATACAGGTTCAGAGAGAGACCAGCATGAAAGCAGACAACTGCTCCAGCATTCAACATTGTCGGCGAGAGGGCGTGCCCGATGTCAGCCATGTTTCGTATGTATGTAAAGTTCTGACGGTGGTTTTGCAGCACGCGAGACGTGCAGGCCCCAGGCCGGCTACGGAAGATGGTCGTGGATGCCTTGTCAGACCTGAATTTGGCACCGAAGGTGATGGTGAGAGTCATCAGGAAGAGTATTTGCGCCCGACGCGATTGCCGGAGAGGCGATGCACACACTCTGTCCCTATCCAGGGGCAGGTCTGGATCGCGTGTGCGTTTTACGGTCGGACGACTGCGCGAGAGGAGACGGCAAGGATGTGCGGGCGCCAAGGAGCATGGGACGTGTGAACGCAGAGGGGCTTCCATGACGTGCTGGCTGCTTCTGTAGGGGTGAGCGAGGTTGAGACGGACCACAGGCGTCGTGTTTAGACTCTGAAGCACGGGCCATGTGGGCGAAGCCTGATGGAAGTTGAACTTGACGTACCAACAGCGTGGGTGTGGATGTGGATCCAGCCACATGTCCGTTTGGGCGGGCGATAATCCCGCTGTGGACACACGGCGTCTGTGGACGATGCTCATGGTGACGGACACAGGAGCAGCAGGAAGAACGGTGCTGGGACATATGCGCATGGTTCGATCTGATGCCCGTGATCGGCGTCCATGTCCGTCCTTGCTTTTCCGAGGCATGACGCGCCCCACGGGGTTCGAGGATTGAGAGCCATCGACACAGGTACCGACCCCGCGGAGCCTTCCCGTCCTCTGTGACCTGTCCCTATGACAGTTATAAGCCCCTCCATCCTACCCTGCCCATCCCCTCAAACCTTCTTGAAAACAAAACACGATGCTCGTCAGGACGCTTGTCCTCGCCGCCCTCCTTGGCGCCGCCGCCGCCCAGACCAGCGGCATCGACCCTTGCGTCCTCTCCTGCCTCCAGAGCGCCGTTTCCTCGAGCAGCTGCTCCAGCTAGTGCGTTTTCCCGTTCCCCGCTGTTGCCCCTTCCCTTTTTATCCAGCGCGACGGCTCACGCACACGTTCTGCGACCGCCAGCACGGACATATCCTGCGTATGCTCGTCCACCGCGTTCCAGGAGGCGGCGGCCGAGTGCCTCGCGAGCAAGTGCACCACGGCCGAGCAGCAGGCCGCCCTCGCCCTCCAATCAGCAGAGTGTGCTGCCGGTACGCCCTTGTCCCCATCCTTAACTCCCCCCGCCCCTCGCCCCTCACTCCTCGGAGCGATACCCCATAGCTGCTGTCTCCCATCCTACCTCACTCCTCTCATAGTGCATCGCGGCTGATGTATGCACAGCGTCCGCCTCCTCCGGTGCCGCCTCCGCGACCTCTGCTGCGACCTCTGCAGCCTCCAAGGCATCGTCAGATGTGTCCTCTGCAGTCTCCGCAGCGTCGTCAGGCACGTCTCCTACGGCATCGTCAGGAACATTCTCTGCAGCCTCCGCGGGGTTGTCGGGCGCATTCTCTGCAGCCTCTGCGGCGTCGTCGAGCGCGACCTCTGCCGCCTCCGCGTCGTCCGGCGCGTCCTCTGAAGCCCCCGCTACGTTGTGGGGTGCATCCTCCGCCGCCTCCGCGGCGTCGTCAAGCGTATCTTCTACAGCCTCCGCGGCGTCGGCGGATGTATCCTCCGCTACCTTCACGGCGTTGTCGAGTGCATCATCTGCCGCCTCCGCGGCGTCGTCAAGCGTATCTTCTACAGCCTCCGCAGCGTCGGCGGATGTATCCTCCGCTACCTTCACGGCGTTGTCGAGTGCATCATCTGCAGCCTCCGCGGCATTGTCGGGTGCATCCTCTGCAGCTTCCGCGTCAGGAGCGTCCTCTGCAGCCTCAGCAGCGTCGTCGGGTGCATCCTCCGCTACCTCTGCGGCGTCGTCCGGCGCGTCAACGAGCAAGAGCGCCGGCGCGGCGGTGCGCCTGGAGCGGGGCACCGTCGTGGGCGTGCTCGTCGCGCTCGCGGGCGTCGGCGCCGGCGCTGCACTGGTGCTGTGAGCGGCAGCCGCGCTGGTGATGCCAACGAGGGTGGATGTGACTCGTCAGAGGCTGTGTGCGCAAAACGGCAGAGATGGAGATGAACACATAGTTGGGGATCAACATGGACGTGGATGTGGATATATCAACGGACATGGTTGTGGATATAGCAACGGACGTGGATATGGATGTGGATGTGGATGTGGATGGCGGGCGCGGGTGCATTCTTGTTGTGTGTATACCCGCTGGCCTGTATCGGCATGTGCAAATGAAGGATCGCCGCTCCCTGATGCAGGCCGGACACGTCGACTCCGCTGCGATGCAAGCGCGAGGCGGTGTGCCTCCGTCCTTCTGTGCTAATATGCTGCTGCGGGCACATCAGTCTTTGAAGGCAGGTCAACAGCCTGTGAATGAATGCTAAGCGCCCCTTACAGTCCGCAGGATCGAGATCCGGCTCGAGTGTTTGCGCCCCACGCACGCCATTGCAGCGTCGTCGTTCATTTCCGAATCTCTGCTGAGCGCTGAGCGCTGAGATGTGGTGGCTTCAGCAGGCGCAAGTGTGTGCGTGCCTCAAGTTATATATGGCGTGGAAGCACCCTCCGTCCTCATCAGCGCGGGGAAAGGAGGCGGTAAGGACGACTGCGAGGTACACGAGCTGAATAGAGTTGGTGGTGCCTGGCGTCAGCCAGGACTCGGACGCGCTGCAGGAAAGAGGCCGCTGGGTGGGCAGAAAGAGCCGCTGGGTGGGCGGACTTTCCTGCAGGGCGGTCCGCGCATGCAACCCCGAAGATTCCCTCACGGAAAGGCGAGCGATCACACGGGTGTACCGCCATATCGATGCCCCGGTGGGCCATGTATGTATAATTCATGAAGTACGACAAGGCTGCGGACTACACGCGCGAGAGGAAGGCGGCGTGCCACAGCGAGCGGCATACAAGCGAGCTACATACTGTATACATAAAAGGAAGGGTCGGGTGGGACAACTTGAAAGAACGCGGGTTTGGACGTGCGCGCGGGGGGGGGGGTAGGCGCGCGCAGGCGAATCTGTTTCTTGCTCGGTCGACGGTCGGACGCTGGGGCCGGCCTCTCCCGGTTCTGCCCCTGGTGCCAATTCCTGCTACTATGCTGGCCCTCGGACATGTGTCTCCCTCGCCGTGCATGTTCGATGCAGTGCGCGCGCGCCCTCCCGCGATACGTCCCCCGGAGGCACCGTCGCCCGCTCTGAGCTCAAGAAGAGACGTCTTCCACGCGTACGGTGTGCTTCTCCCTGTGCATCCGCAGTGAGCCAACCCCGGCTCGAGCGTGAGCTAGGGCCGACTCACGGCGTAGTAGGAACAGCACAGACATGAAGCTGCAGCGGGCGGGCAGGGCGGCGTACGCCGTCCGGGTTGGAGGCGACGTCCAGCTATATGCTCCTTGTGCGCCGGTAGTAGGCATCCTGCTTCCTGCGTGAACCTACCAACAGCGGTGTTCGGACTCTGCTACGGTACCCATCAATACTCCTTTCCATGCCGACTCCGAGGCTTGCGAAGTGCGGGAGAGAAGAGCATCATCCACAATCATGCCGTCCGTCGTGCCGGAGAGCAAGGGTGCGGGCTGGCTGTTGCGTGTGAAGCAGGGCACGGGTACGGCGATGTTGGTTGTTGTGTGTGAAGCAGGGCACGGTCGTGAGCGTGCGTGGCTGTGGCTGCGAGGCTGGCGCTGTGTGTGCTGGTAATAATTCCTCCGCTTCTTGAGCTGGAGTACGAAGGCGCAGAGCACGGTTTGCACGACCTGCTCTATCATGGAGAGACCTGCAACACAGAATATTTCGTCGAGGGACCGCACGGGAAGGTGCCGGAGAGGCATTGGTTCTCTATCATTAGGCGATATGTAAGCGAAGAGAAGCCCTCTTTACGCATTGGCATGCTGAGCACATCCTCGCGCAGATGACCAGCCTTATGATCACTCTTATGTATGGCCGTCGCGTCGATCGCATTGTGGACAATCCGAGGCTGTATGTCGGTGTGTTCAAACTGTGAGACATTACTGTTGACGTGCTATGTTCAGGCATATAACCTACACCGTATCGTCAAATTTCACACATGTGGCTCAACCTGGGAGATATCTGTGCGTCACGGCTCACTGCTTGAGCCTTAATGCGGCGCTCAGATCTCCGTGTAGGGTGGGTGCATTTCCTGTCTTGCGTTGGCTACCCGACATTCTGGCCCCATGGAGAGCAGAAGGGAAGAAGATGCACGAATGGTATCTATCGTCCTGATCATTTGAAGTCGCACATGCTAATTTGTTGCATAGGGAGCTGAAGTTCTGGGGAAAACAATTTGCTGACAGCCGCACGGCCTTGCTCAACGGCTCCGGGCTCAACGGTATTGTACAGTCCTATCTCCGTGCACGTACCGAGGCTGGACTGGAGGATCTGCCCGGTAATGGCGTGGCAGGATGGATGCGTGACAAGCTGGTGACATACACCGCCGTATCTCTCATCGAGGCTGGCTCAGACACAACCTCGACCGCGATCTTCTCATTCATGCTACTCATGCTCAGCAACCCGGACGCTCTGCGGCATGCCAAGGATGAGATGGACGGGGTGGTAGGCTCTAGCCGGATGCCCGAATGGGAAGACGAGGATAGGTTGCCCTGGCTCAAAGCCTGCATCAAGGAGACGCTCCGGTGTGCACCGCCGCTGCCCTTGGGTGAGTACAATACCAGCAAGTTCCCGCCCAGGCATTAACAACGGTATGCGCACAACCTGATGCGATCAAGGTATCCCGCACAAGGCAGACGAGGACGACGTTTACGACGGCTATCTCATCCCCAAAGGATCCACGGTGATTGGGAACATATGGGCCATCCATATGGACCCCGTTCGGTACCCTGACCCATCCGCGTTCAAGCCGGAGCGGTTCTACAATCCAAACGGAAAGCTGGAGTGGGCCAGTGGTCCGGACACCCATGATCGTGACCAGTACGTCCTCACGGAGATGTGGAGTGACGTGTACTAACTAGCCTGGCTCAGCTACATATTCGGGTGGGGCAGGCGTTTCTGCTCTTGAGAACATATTGCAGAGGCGTCATTGTTTATTGTTCTGTCCCGTCTCATCTGGGGCTTCGACTTCTACGCGGCGTCGGATCCGCAGACTGGCAAAGCGAGGCTGCCTGATGTCAACGACGAGGCCACGTTCACGGACGGGCTTGTGGCTGCCCCGAAGATTTACCCTGCCGGGTTCAAGCCACGGTCCGAGAAGCATGCCGAGATGATCAAGGCATCGTATAGAGACGTTCAGAACGACTGGCAGTCAATGGGGCCGGCGGGAGATGAGCGGTGACTGTCATATGGCTCCAGCGAAGCGACGAGTGGTTGATTGAATGCGTGGGTAGAACACAGATCTCAGACATTTTTCCATGGCAGTCTCAAACACAAATGTCCCTCTTTCTTTCACGTTCAGGCTCTATTCTCCTGATCCAGCGATGTTATAGACACGTTTTCATTATGTGATGTTAAATTGTTTTGCAGGCAATTTCCAGAGCTGTGGAAGTTTATAATCACAGAAAGACAGGGTAGACGTGAAGAGATGTCACATCCAGCGCGGGTACAAACACGGGATGATAAATAGTACGCACAAGGCCCCATCGTTGGAGAAATCGCATAAGGGGAAGGTAGGAGCGATGGATGGGAAGGAATAGGATGCGCTTGTAGATGACGATGCGAAGAAGGGTGAGACTGGGATAGAGACGAGCAATACTTACATTACACTCGACTCACTATTCTACCAAAATGCACCATTGATAGGGTATATACACACCTTCACTATTTGGACATGCGAAGAATAAGAAGGTACGCATAGCGACATGAGACCTATTTACACAACCTCTCGAGGTCTGGAATCCGCAAATGAACTCGTATTGAGCGAAATTCCTCTTAGTAACCCAACTTGTAGTCTTTTGCGGCCACCGCTACATTGCTACTTCTTTACTTGTACGCAACATTCTTTGAGCGTGCCAGTCACGTCCGACTATCTCGCCTCAATCACCGTCACGAAATGCGCTAGCAAAACTCGCTTTCTCAGTTCGAAAATATTGTCTGGCAACAGGGTCAGTGTTTGGATCACCACACGTTATTCCAGATATATCCATGGGTCTTCTTACCTCTCGTTAGTCGCTTCTTTCGCCGAATGCTCATACAACGCTTGAAGCCTCGCCTAACGAAGCTTGAAATACCCATGGAAACCCCGATCTGCGGATCGTCAGTGGCCACGGGAACATATCGCGCTTTCCAGGTGTAACACTGACGATCTCGGGGAATGCCAGAGTGCTGTACTGCAAATCTCTTGTATATAATGCTTTGTCGCGAAATATTGCGTTTAGAGTCCGTGAACTGATATTGAGTATTTCTTGAGCTACCAAGCAATTCTCTGATAGCGTTGTAGTTCAACTCCATGCGAAGGCGTGGACGGGCACATGATTGTGCTTGGAATCGACAAGATTTCCCACGTGTGCATCCATAACACACTCGACAATCGTGACGAAACGTTCAAGACTTTCATACTCCCCCATAGCTTTCTTATCGCATTTCATCTCTATATCAGCGGTCGTTGGCGAAGGTGTTGACCAGATCGACCGCTCGTCGCAGATATTCGCGCATATACGTCTCGTCCCACACGTCCGTACCCTGCAAGTCATCCGTCAGTCAATTGTCATAAAGACATCGCGAAGCTCACTTACGATCACCTGAAAATGCACTTTTCCGCGCATCGTCCACATATGCACGAGCCTGAGAATGATCAAAATTAGCATCGTGCATTGTGAGCTTCCACGTGTGCCTCACGGTCTAGCGCTGTGGGACCAACGATTCGAGAACGCAACATCTTCGACGTCAATATGACATTCCGCATGCGAGTCACTGCACGAGTACCGTAAGGGAAGCCTTCCGTCAATGAGCCCGACATTGGTAATCATTAATGCAGCTGGATTCTTCCATGTCTCGGAAGGCGGAACACGGAGTGGCTTCGAGGCGAAGATATTCGCGGTAAGGTGTGGCAGATGCGGGTTGGACAGGTAGTGAGAATACTCCTCTTGCAGACGATCCATGATGCAGCACAGCTTCGCACGGGGACCGTCCTGTGTGTCGAAAGTCGAGAATGGGACGATGAGAGGCACGACAACGGACGTCGAGGTGATGTGCGAAGGCCGGTTGTAAGGAGGAACGAGATATTTTGTAAGAGCGATACTAGGCATGAAGCGTGATATGCGCAGGTGGTATGAAGGCTTGAGCATGACTCACAAGGTCAGGTCTAGCGTTACGTGTGCGTCCTTGGCCGGAACACCGAGCACTGGATTCAGTTCAAACATGGCGAGAATGAACGCCGCCTCAAGCAGTCGGGTGATCGTATGTCCAACCGTCTTCAAGCCGTTGAGGATACGTGACGACGTTTCCGCATTTAGTACGTCGCATATTCTCATAATCACGCCAACATTCTGCACCTCTTGACGAGAAGTCTGTAAGGAATGGGAAAGCTGAAAGACGAAACATTAACCACGCACGATGCTTGCACATGGTAAGACGTACGATGTCGTTCGTCCGCAGGGTCTGCCATCGCCGCAACATGGGAACCCCTTCGCTTTCCCAGTTCAATAGATGTCCACCAGTAGCGGTGACGGGTCCTGGGGGCAGATTTCTCCATTCCTCTCCCCACGAGAGTCGATCAGCTCCATGCGTGACGTCGCATAGAGTAACTTCTTCGAAAAGGATCCGGAGAAAATTGGTATTCGAGTTGCCGTCAAAGATGGCATGGACACCGTGTATGAAAACTGAAAACTTGCCCTGCAGTGAGTTTGTCAGTAGGTATAGTCTCCAGTGTTGTCGTACTCCGTCAGGATGGATATACGGCAGCCGTTTCGAGACTATTTCCGTCACAAACACATCAGGATCGATTTTGTCATGCAAAATCTCGAGACTATGCACGGCCCATCGTTCCACATCCTGAACAGTGGTCACCGGAGTATATCTCCACCAATACTGTACTGGGTCGCAGCCATCCTGTTCTATGGTGGCTCCTAGCAAAGGGGCTACGAACCTACATCACGGTAATCGCGTGAGCGAATCCTAGTCTCTTAACATGGGTACTTACCGCAAATAGCATAATGCAGTCCGTATTCGTTGACCTAATGTGTCCGGCTCGAGATTGGTGCTGAACGTTGTACCAAAACAGACGTCTCCCATCCTGGACATATCCGTTAACACAAGTGACAGGCCGTAAACCCTCAGTATGCATACCCGTCGTCACGATCGTGAAGAGCATACATAAGTATCTCAGACCCGGCAAGAGGCCTAGTAGCATCGTGAACAATAGCAGAAAAGAATCGACAGCATAGCACACCTAGTGTAAGAGATAGCGTTTTCATGTTTGATTGCAATCCACCCCGGCTCGGCAAGAGGGCCAGCAGACACCTCCATTGTGACAAGGGCAACTGCACGCCTCAGCGAAGCCAACCTATTGAACCATGGGAGTCCGAGCCCTTATAGTGTGGTACTTAGGGATGGGAATCTGTGTTCCACCACAGAGCTTCTGAGGAGATAATCAGAGCATGCATCAGGAAATGATGAATTGCTATATAGCACTATGTATAGCCAGGACAGCCTGCGCGATTACCGTCCAATATATCGCACGGCGCTACCCGTTTATGGCGCGAAATAGCAACCGAAGTGGAGGAGAATGAGATTGTGGAGTTTGAGCGGCGATCATGATTTGATCGGATATCGCCGACTTGTGGCTGAGATGTGGCGCGGAGAATGGCGGAGACAGCGGCAAGGAGTCCGACCAATCAGGACTTTCTAACCAGTGAAATGATCCTATCCGACAATGAATTAGCTTACTGAACAACTTCGACAGCACACAATTACTACCAATCATCCCTATTCAAGGATCTGCCATCACCCTGGCCTTTGATACTTACTGCGCCACGATGTCGACTCTCGAGGTGTGTGAGGCGATGGATGAGGTATCAGGAATACCAATGATAATTTTCTCTAAATTCGGAACGCTACGTTCCAAACACCATTGGTTCTTTGCGGCGGTGCACGGCAAGCGTTCTGGAATGGCTCACTTGATGTAGTGCCGCAGATACGGCATCAGTTCTACTCTCGTTATACGCCGATTCACGGCATTTGTGTCAGACGTTTCTGGAGACTTGGACTTCATTTATCATACCTCGTTGGGTACAGCGACATTACAAAGGCATCTTCTGCGTCATAAAGAGGAACGCACGTCCCTTCACTCACTGTCACATTGTGGACTCCTGTATCTTGCGCATCAATAGACGCCCGCGTAGCTTAGCCGTGCGCGCTTCCTGCTTTCCCGAATGATGTCGTCACGGTACGCTGTGCCCGACGGGCTACAATATCCCTGCTTTAGGAACTTGACTTGTGGTAGTAGGGCAGTCGGCGGGTCAGACACAGCCGGCGGCGCGCCTGCGTGTCCTGCATCTGGCCCTCTGCCTGCCGTGCTCACGCCGCGGATCTATATGCTTGTGCTGTAGGCCTTTGTGTGCCTCGTCGCCTCCTGCTCGCAGCGTGTGGAGTGCCGTTCACTGACGGCACCACCAGTCGCCTGACAGCAAAGTCGCATCAACCGCCCAAGACCTTCCGAATCGGGCGCGTCGGCGCCCCAGATGTCGACTGCAGCCTCCCAGTCGTGGCTCCAAAATGCGCGCGATATCGTGAACAAAGTGACAAGTGTTCTTCGTGCGTTAAGAGACCACACATACATCTGCTTAGTGATATCCCCGACAAACTGGAAGACGGGTAGCGGCGGTACCCAAGTTGCGCATTTGCAATCAACGCCGTCTGTTCTCGAAGAGAGGTTCGCTGGGGAAGGGGTGACGCCCGTGGATTGGTATCGGGGGCCGAGCCCCTTCTTCAGCCATCTCCGGCAGACTCGAGGATCGTCTCTTCATTTCTCTATTTAGCTATCCGCATGATGCGCCGTGCTCCTAGGACATGCAGCCGGCATACACGCCTTTGGCCATACACCACAGGATTTGGGTGCACCTCGGATGAGATGGTGGGTGCGGGTTCTATGCTTATTAACGCTGAGTCTTCCTTGCTGACGGTGCTTCGCGTAGGTGGAATGTGCTCTGATAACGCATGCTTTGCCTCCGTGTTCCTGGACGTTTTCATTAGCTAAAGGAACCAACACCGGACCTTTGGTTTGTGGGAGATACAAGTTCTCGAAACGACGGCTTGATACCATCCGTCATGCCGTTCATCAGTCAATGATTGTCTTGTGGGAGCATCCGGCCGGCCAGCCCCATGACTGCAACCATTGACCACTATTTAAGCTGAGTTGTGCTGCACGCTAAGCCTGCATCCACAGCCATTGTTAGAACGCGGTCGAAGATGGCCGTCTCGACCAATGAGTTGGCAATTCTCGCTATTGTCTTACTTGTCACCGCGGTGGTCTTCTACACCAAAGGCACTCGGCGTGCCCCCTTACCGCCTGGACCTCGCGGAATCCCGTTCCTCGGCAACCTGTTCCAATTCAACGTGATGCGTCCCTACCCCCAGGTATGGTGATCATCGGCCCATACTTGTTTGCCCATGGCCCCTTACACATCTGGCGTACAGTATCTGAAGTGGGCACAAAAATACGGCCCTGTATTCTCTATCAAACTGGGCAGCCAACGCATCATTGTGCTGAGCACCTCCGAAGCAGCGGACGAACTGTTCGTCACCCGCAGCAAGCTGTATTCCAGCCACGAGTCCCCACACGTCGGGTTCGACCTGGTGAGCGACCAGCAGCGAATGGTGTTCATGCCGTATAGCAGAGAATGGAAGGTCTGTCGGACATAGTGTTCAGCATCCACGATTCGAGCTCACCCATTGGCCGCTCCGCTGGCCGTTATAATAAACCAGATCGTCAGGAAGAATGTCCATGGCATTCTTGGCCCCGGTCCGTCCAAGCAAATGCGTAAGATGCAAGACCTCGAGTGCCGCATCATGCTGCACGACCTGCTCTGTCACGGAGATACCAGCATCGTAGAGGACTTCGTCGAGGGACCGCATGGGAAGGTGCCGGAGAGGCATTGGTTCTCCATCATAAGACGATACGTGAGCAAATCAAGAGTTCTCTCTACCTGACGGCATGCTGAGCACGTCCTCACGCAGACGACCAGCCTGATGATGACCCTTGTGTATGGCCGTCGCATCCATCGCATTGTGGACAATCCGGAGCTGTATGTCGAGTTCAGACCGTAGATATCACCGCTGACATGCTATTTTCAGGCATCAAGTCTACGAAATGATGTCTAATATGACACATGTGTCACAGCCTGGACGATATTTGTTAGTCAACATTCATCAATCGAATCTTTATGCATCGCTCATAGTTGGTCATCATGTAGGGTGGATGCACTCCCTATCCTACGCTGGCTACCCGACATTATGGCACCATGGAGAGCAGAGGGAAAGAGGATGCACGAATGGTATCTATTGCTCTGATCAGTTGAAGTCCCACATGCTAATCTGGTCTACAGGGAGATGGGTTTCTGGGGGAAGCTGTTCGCCGACAGCCGGACGGCTTTTCTCAATGGCACCGGGCTCAACGGGTTTGTTCAGTCCTATCTGAGCGCACGTGCCGAGGCAGGACTCGAGGACCTTCCTGGTAAGGGTGCAACAGAGGACGGGGCAGGATGGATGCGCGACAAGCTTATCACATACACGGCCGTGTCCATCATCGAGGCTGGCTCGGACACGACCTCGACCGCCGTCTTCTCGTTCGTGCTGCTCATGCTCAGCAACCCGGACGCTCTGCGGCGCGCGAAGGAAGAGATGGGCGCGGTGGTAGGCTCTAGCCGCATGCCGGATTGGGAGGACGAGGATAGGTTACCCTGGCTTACGGCCTGCATCAAGGAGACGCTCCGGTGTGCACCGCCGCTGCCCTTGGGTGAGTACAATACCAGCAAGTTCCCGCCCAGGCATTAACAACGGTATGCGCACAATGATGCGATCAAGGTATCCCGCACAAGGCAGACGAGGACGACGTTTACAACGGCTATCTCATCCCCAAAGGATCCACGGTGATTGGGAACATATGGGCCATCCATATGGACCCCGTTCGGTATCCTGACCCAACCGCATTCAAGCCGGAGCGGTTCTACAATCCAGATGGAAAGTTGAACTGGGCCAGTGGCCCGGACACCCACAATCGCGACCAGTACGTGTTCACCAAAATGTGAGGCGACGTGTACTAAGTAGTCCGGCTCAGCTACATATTCGGGTGGGGCAGGCGTTTCTGCTCTGGCAAATATCTTGCAGAGGCATCGATGTTCATTGTTCTGTCTCGTCTCATCTGGGGCTTCGACTTCTACGCGGCGTCGGATCCGCAGACTGGCAAAGTGAAATTGCCTGATGTGAATGACGTGGACACGTTCACGGACGGGCTTGTGACTGCCCCGAAGATATACCCTGTTGGATTCAAGCCACGGTCTGAGAAGCACGCCGAGATGATCAAGGCATCGTATAGAGATGTTCAGAATGACTGGCAGTCGATGGGGCTGGCTGGAGATGAGCGGTGAATGTCGTGTAGCTCAAAGACAGCGATCTCGAACATATTCCTATGGCAGTCTTCAACGCAAACGTCCCTCTTTCCTTCACACTCAGGCTCTACCCTCCTGACCCCGCGATGTTATGGATACGTTTTCATTATGCAACGTTGAAGTATCTTGCAGGCAATTTCCAGATCTGTGAAAGTTGACAATCTCATCAGGAAGGGCACAGGAGGAACGTAAGTCCTCGTCCGGCACGCACGCACAGGCCTGCGGTGAGCGCTAGGCTGACGACGGGCGAGGTCCGCACGACCAGACGGACGAATTGCTTGTATGAAGCGAGGACAGGCGAGGATGGGGTCGCTCTGGCGCGTTCAACGCACCTTGGCAGCGGTAAAATGGAACGCAATAGATTTTGAAGGTATGAGCTTGGGTATCCGCGCTATAAGACACGATCGAAAAGAGAGACCCAGCGCTCGAGCAGACAATGCGAGTGCTGAGGTGCAACGGCGCAGAGGTCGCGTCTATTCCAACGGCGGCTTAAGGTAACGATCGGTGGCGTTAAGTAGCTACAAATGTCCTACTGAAATAGTCCGTAGCTATGTAGTTCCCAGGACCATGCTGGTTCCAATAAGATACGGTTGAGGATGAAAGGCGTATGCGATGATTCGTCCACACTGACTAGGCGGTTGTCCAGCCGGGTTGAGTAAATTCTGGCTCATCGTGGTCACAGGCGAAGCTAAGATGGGCCGCATACACACTTTACTACATGTGACAACCTGTGACGATCACTTGAGGTCACTGTGAACCACTCTTGGTGACACTGTAATCCTACACGCTCATTGTACTGATACAATGAGACGAGTACAGGATGCACTTGGCTGCACAATGATGTATGCTTGATAGAAAACATATTGATGTCTATTTTTATACACTCCGCAGTCGCTGTATTACGGGATATTGTCCTTATCCACAAGATCAAGGTTTGAACCTGGAACAATATGGCACTTCTTGCCTACATATTAAGGCTCTAACTATTTTGTTTCTTTACTGCGTATGTCGCGACAAACGAACAACGAAGGCCGGGGGCGGTCGAGGCCCACCAGACCTCGTGAGACGTTAGACGCCCGCCGTGAGGTTCGCCTTGCGCTCCAAAAGACTTTTAATAGTCGAACTAAAGGACGTAGCCGAAAGGCTAAATAACGATACATTCTTTTGACTGTAACATTGGATAACGATTACGCGTACATGAAGTCATCATAGGCCAATTCGCTATATAGCTGTCGAACATAATGCGTAGAACGGAATGCTGCGTTCTATTATGGAAGGCGCGCTCAAGCCGTCTCTTGCGGTCTCACTACGAGCTTCACACCGCTGACCAAATTATTCTCTAATTGTTCCAATCCACCTACGACGCCATTAAGCCCACCATGAAGGAGAACGACGCGGTTCGGCTGGTAAAATCACATGCATCAGGCATGATATGGTTTATACAGACTGAGAACTTACTCGAATCGCCGCTTCTTTCAACAGATCAGGCAATGCTTTGTATAGGCTGACGACAACCGCATGGTTCCTAGGAACCCATATGACGCGCTTACTGTATTCAGCCTTAGCGAGCGGGAGGACAGTCACGAGACATCCACTGGGTGCAAGTAGGTCGAACGCAATGTCCTGGGTGGCAGCTTGGGGAACCACATTGTATATCACCTCTAAGGGCTCAGAGGTAATCTTCTCGACTTCAGAACGAAGAGAGTCGGCAGGAAGGGCTCGGTCTATTATATGAGTAGCACCAAGAGACTTGAGATAGTCGGTGTGGCGCAGCGAGGCTGTACCAATAATGGGAGAGAAGCCCGAGAGCCTTGCGAGTTGTAGAACTGCCAAACGCAAACACAGTATGTAAGTTTGGGTAATAAGCATTGCCAATGCAAAGCCACTTGCCGTATTGGCCGACAGAGCTCGATGCACCAAAGACCACGAGTGGCTTGCCTGTGTACTTGCCGCGGCCGTCTCCTTCCCACGGCGCAGTAAGCTGCGTGCCCTCAGATTCGCTACTTTCGGGGGCTGATGAAGTGTAGAGCCCACGGGCCGCCGTCGCTAAACCTAAAGGTATAGTCGCCGCCTGGTCGAATGTCATGTCTGCAGGAATCTGCCAAAACGGTCTAAGACATTGTATACCTTTTCGTAGCGACGCATAAAAGTCAACCTTGGCAGTTATATTGACATTAAAGAGAGAATACTGCTGGAATCCTGCGCGCAAACCATCGATGCTGCCTTGGGAGAACCTGCGCGACAGTCAGTGTTAAGGTGTACTATAAGGACATAATACTTACACTCTATCACCCTGCTCGAAGCCTTGTACACCGTCTCCGACGGCTTCCACAATACCAGCGATATCTGATCCAAGGACGGTAGGGTAGTTCTCGACCAGTATTCCATACTTCTGGACGATCCAGTCTGCCGGATTGAGAGCGGCGGCATGCACCTTGACGAGGAGTTGACCAGAACCAGGCGTAGGAATATTTATTGACTGCAAGGTGAACGTGCCCTGCTTAACCGGGAGAACGAGCGCTTTCTGCAGAGTAGACATGTCGAGGACGTTCTCTTGACATGAGGTTCATGCTGAAGCATACTATATATTAGGAGCGAGAGCCGCAGTCAATCATTAGTCAGAGAAGAACATCAGTCATCAGGGAATATTTGTGTTGAGCCGAGGGCATACGAATGCATACGGCACTAGGAGCGTGGGACTTCAGATGGCGTTAGACTAGGCCTCGGCACAGGGTAGGAACCTCCTGTCAACACACCATTACATCCTCCTGCGAGCTGTCAATATCTTGGTTTGATAAACAATGCCGAGATAAACGGATCTTCAGGAGCTCTCAGACTACAGCAATTGTTGACGAGAACCTTGTAACTGCGCGCCGCAACTTGAATTTCGCCTCCCCTACGATAAACCAAACCCTGGAAGCTTCTCTGCGCTCGCATCCTTGTCGAGCTGCATGCCGCAGGCCCCCTTGTCTTCTCGCCTCATGCAGTAATCCGACCGCAAAGTTTGCACGTGTTCAAACCTGCATCCAGGTAGGGGGTGTACGCCGCCTCTTCGGTAATCGCGCGGGCGCATACACTTCCCTGATGGGTCCCGCTTCAGTGCCAAACCTAGGCCCTCAGGCCTCAGGCCTGACAAGGTAGTCATGATCATCTGCCATAGCTGGACGTTCCGCGCGCTGCAAATTCACCGCCCTGAATCAAAAAATACTGTCTGTGCATTGCGTGAATTGCTGACCTGCTTTGTCAACCGAACATTGCGATCGGTGTTGCGGACCAGCATCTTGTTGCCAACTTGCATGCGCGTCGTCTATCGTCTACTGAGCGCGCTGACACGGGTCGCACGTGATGTTCGATCGCTTTTCTCAGCTTTTCATTGGCCAGTGTAGATTGCTCGTGGTACATACGTGACCTTGCTGTGTCTGTCATCCGCAACCTCGCAACCCCTACGATATGCAGCGTGAAGCTTCGCAGCACGGTGTTGTCTAATTTGTCTCCACGTATCCGATTTTATGTTCATGACTTCGAAATTGCATGAACGGACTCAGAACTGTGGTACTCATAACATTCTATCGCATTTTGATGAAGGACTAATGGGCATTTAGGCATGGGCGTGCCCACGCCGTCTTCTACCAGTGTCTGGGAAGCATAGGGATAAGACGGGATCGCGTGGAGGGTTACTGCATTTAAAGGCGGTGTTCCACCCCCTCTCTCTTTTAAGTGCTATCACCACGATCATGGCAAATCGCGCAGCCGCCATCCCTGATGCAGACGTAGGCAGCTAATACGATCCCGAGGTGCGTCCCGCCTGCTGCGTCCTCTCACGCCTCTCGCGCGCCGCGTTTGTCCACGTGTTCGCGAGTAGTATAAGCATGCTTCCTGCCTTCCCTCTTCGACCCGCACGCTCTCGTCACGTACACTGTGCGCCCTACCGGATACAGTATCCCGGAGCTGGGACTCGACTTGTCACGGTCATAGCAGCGATTGGGCAAGACACCGCGGGTCTATACGCTTATGCCACGTACCCGTGTGTGGCTCACTGGTGGTGTCATCCGTCGCATTCAAGATGCCTCAGGCGCGGGAAAATAAAACCACATTTCATGACTACTACCAGCTCGCGATCAAGCTTAGTGTCACGTATGTACCATTGTACTCCATGAGATTTCTCCACGGTCATGTATTGCGAGACGACTCGTGCATCATATACTGCACGCAGAAGATGCATTACGGGCTCCCGACTGCGGGCGGCATAGAAGCAACAAGACAGAGTCGTATGACACGGGTACTGCTGCAAGTGGGGTCTCAACCGATGTACGAACTATTTTCTTTACCTTTTGCAGTCTGCAAAGGAGTCGCATAAACCTCTCAAGACCTTCCAAATCGGGGTCCGCCGGCATCCCAGATGCCAATCAGTCTCGACTGCAATATTAATCCTTCTGGCCGTACCACAAGGGTGGGCGCGGGACCCCGCACGCACAATCATCTACTCAGTGGTATCCTCGACGAACCGGCGGAACCCAAGGTGCTCATTTGAAATCAACGCCATCTGTACTCGAAGAGAAGTTCGCTGGGGCATGGATGACAACTGTGGAGTCGCATCGGCGGCTGGCATTCACGTCTTCGTTTCTCCATCCAGCTATGCGCACGATTCGCCGTGGTTCTAGGACATGCCGCCGGTATACGCGCCATCGGGAATGTACGGCAAGATTTGTGTCCATCTCGGATGAGACGGTGGGTGTGCGTTGTATGCTGATTAATGCTGAGCCCTCCCCGCAGACCGTGCTTCACGTATGTGCTATGTGCTGTGATAACGCATCCCGAGATGTTTTTGGCCAACCGTTTGCGGCAGTTGCAAGTTCTCGAAACGATGACGTAGAGCCATCTGTCATGTCGTGTATCTGTCAGCGATTCTGCTGTGTGAGCAGGCGACCGGCCAGCCAGCCGCCGCTACTTAAGCTGACTCGAGTCGGTGCTGCAACGCCACGACTACATCCACGGCCATTAGCAGAACCCAGTGGAAGGATGGATATCTCAACTAACGAGCTGGCGGTTCTTACTATTGTCTTGCTTTCTACCACAGTGCTCTTCTACGCCAATGGTACTCGGCGTGCCCCATGACCTCCTGGGCCCCCTGGTGTTCCGCTCTTGGGAAACTTGTTTCAATTCAACGTAGTGCGCCCCTACCCCCAGGTATGGTATTTTCGGTCTATATGACTTTACCTACCGTTACTAACAGACCCGACGTCCAGTATTTGAAGTGGGCACAGAAATATGGTCCTGTCTTCTCTGTCAAATTGGGCAGCCAGCGCATCGTCGTTCTGAACAGTGCCGAAGCGGCGGACGAGCTGCTTACCATCCGCAGCAAGTGGTATTCGAACCGCGAGCCCTCACACGTCGGGTTCGACCTTGTAATCGACCAGCAGCGGATGGTGCATATGCCATACGACAAAGAGTGGAAGGTCCGTCGAACCTACTTTCGGTATCTATGGTTCGAGCTCACCTGTCGGCCGCTCTGCACCGGCAGTTGTGATAAACCAGGTCGTTAGGAAGAATGTTCATGGCTTTCTTGGCCCCGGTCCGTCCAAGCAAATGGGCAAGACGCAAGACCTTGAGTCACGCGTCATGCTACACGACCTGCTCTGCCACGGTGAGACCAGCATTACAGAGGAATTCGCCGAGGGACCGCAACGGCATGTACACAGCCTGGTGTGATTAAGGTGTCCCGCACAAGGCCGACGAAGATGACGCTTACAACGACTATCTCATTCCCAAAGGATCCACGGTGATTGGAAACATATGGGCTATCCATATGGACCCCGTTCGGTACCCTGACCCGACTGCATTCAAGCCGGGGCGGTTCTACGATCCGGATGGAAGCTGGACTGGGCAAGCGGTCCGGACACTCATAATCGCGACCAGTACGTCTTCATCGAGATGTGGAGTCACGGGTCCTGACTGGTCTCAGACAGCTATATATTCGGGTGGGGCATTCGTTTCTCTGGCAAATATCTTGCAGAGGCGTCGATGTTCATCGTTCTGTCTCGTCTCATCTGGGGCTTCGACTTCTGCGCGGCATCGGATGCGAAGACCGGCAAAGCAAGATTACCTGATGTCGACGACGAGGCCACGTTCACGGACGGGCTTGTGGCTGCCCCGAAGATTTACCCTGTTGGATTCAAGCCACGGTCCGAGAAGTATGCCGAGATGATCAAGGCATCGTATAGAGACGTTCAGAACGACTGGCAGTCGATGGGGCTGGTGGGAGATGAGTGATGAATGTCATGTGGCTCAAAAGAGGCTACGAGTAGTCGAATGCACGGGAAGGGCACAAATCTCGAGCATATTCCTGTGGCACTGATATTGGCGATACGGGATTTTGCAACAACGTAACCCGAACGCGTCCTGGACATGTATGATCTAACTCGTGTACGCCTGCATTGAAATCATATGAAAGCGTCATCTTCTGTATATGAAGGATGTTGGAATTGTATGCACTAGTAGTGTGGTTCTATAAGCTTGGCGCTTGATGCGCGGAACGGACGCGTCCATCTCATCTCGCCCTCCATGTGACCGCGTCAGAATTGACAGGCGCCCTACTCAGAGGATAACCGATGATCGATCGTCTCACGAATGTTCGTGTTCTGCCTCCGGAGAGGCCGTCGCCAGATCCCAACATAGCAACGACTTGGGCTTGATGCTACCAATGTCAGTTGCTCTGTCGTGTATACAGAACATATTGATTTGTAACTCGAGTTAACAATGCGGCTATTGCAGATATCGTGCACCATTCGTGGGCCATCCCTGCACTGCGTTCTTGTGGGTGCAGTTCCAATATGGGCGAGATATGAGATTAACGAACCACAGTTCAATCACAAATGTGATGCAAAAACGCTTTCCTCAACTAGTCCTCGGCTCGGAGGGTCAACATAATCGAATACGCTTCTTGCACGCGCCGAGATGTCTGCATGACTGATATATATACAGAACAGTACGACCTGTCTTCCTATCGAACCTGGACCTAGCTGCTGATCAACAGAGACTATCGCACTCTAGGATCACAGGTCCCAGGTATTTCACGTGCAAGCATCCGAAATGTACGATTTGTTGTGAAGTAAGATCGGTGTACATGTTTCGCACAGCTTGAACGTCATTCATTTTCACAACAGCGACCAGTCCCCCCTGCCTTCGAGCAGAAGAGTTAGCCATAATGTGCATGATCGAGCTCGGTATGAGACCAATATGATCACTGGGTACGTGTATGTTCTGCCCCTTATATCTCGCAGAAATGCTTGCCTTAGCTTATCTCGTCAAACGTTACGGCTGCGATCCCGCGAATATTCTCACTACCTCACGGTTCTCGTTCAGATATGCAAGACCTCAACAATGTTGGAAGAACACGCCAGAGCTGCAGCATCTAATCTAAGGAGCGCGGACGTTATTGTTACACTCAAGTCGCAGAGGGTGCTCCGGTGCTTGGCATAATACACGGCGGCGCGTGGAGGTAATTGACCGTAAATAACCTCATGGGACGCGCTCTGGATGCTAGTACTCCACGTTGAGCTAGTGTTGTTATAAGCAGCAAAATATCAATCCGCACACCTCATGATTATGACACCAGTGGTGGGTCTGGGGTAGGAATTACCCAGAGAAGCCTCATACATTTATATTAGGTAACTCACTTGCGATATAGTAATATAGCACTAACTTTTAGCCGCGCAAAGTGACACACGTAGGTGAAAAATGAAAGAGCAGTGAATCCAACCCTCTTCTTCTTGTTTTACAACAAGTGTTCTGTCACAGTTTCCCTAATTTTACCTAATTTTTCCGCTATTTCTGCGGACATATCAAAGGGTATAGGGACTTATCCATACTTATCCGTCCGCATATGGGTACATCTACATATCTAAGGGGTTATCCGCTTAAATAAGCGACACATGATCTTGTTCTGGACACATCAGGCTGGACTCTGATGCCGGACCTTTTCTAGATAGAAACCAGACTCCTTCTGGACCATGACATCATTCTGACATCATAGGTAGGAGCTAGGCTCAGGCACTAGGCCATAGGCCGGTCAATTCTGGACCCTAGGCCCAGGGCAGGGCAGGGCCAGACTATGACATCATATATGACATCATAGAGCACATGATACTTAGTAATCCTTACCCAGCTAGGTACCAGGGGTCCATTACCGGTCCCTGGGGGGTTTTCCCTCATGTATATAAGGCAGCATCCTGGGGCACCCTGTCCCCCAGTTCTATTCACTTCGTTGTTGCGCTTAACAGCATTACCTCCCCA